CCCCCCCCCCCCCCAACCCCCCAGCCCCCACTTAAGAGACTGGTCATAAGATTTACATTTAAATTGTTCCGTAAATTTGTTGGGCTCTCCGCCACTGGGAGAGGCCTCGTAGGAAGGAGGGAGATCGCTTTGGGTTGGTCCAGTGATGCGCTGCAAACACGCGCGCGGTGTCCCAAATATGCCCCAATGTCTTTTCTGTCCCAAAAGACGTTCAAGCTAGAACTAACTCAGACGAGAAACAACACTATCAATTCTCCCATTCCAGGAGAATCCTCGGCAGAATGCCTTCGTTACGCGAGGTACTGGTCTCGCGGCATTTTCAGGAACGGGGGAATCCCTCTCGGAACATAAATAAACCAGGCGACTCACAATAAGGTACATCGCCGACAAAATACTACTCGAAACCTTACAAAGGATAATGGCAGATGATAATGCAAACCAGGGGATCCTCTGTGGGGTTACAGTGATGCCGTAATGTAGCATGGTGATACATACTGTATTGATGGTTATTGAGAGGTTATTGTTGAATACATCCGAACGAACAGCGAGCTAGCTGTAACTGGGTGAACTTAACTACCATCTCGTCAGTACGACGGCGCCTCGTCAGTACGACGGCGCCTCGTCAGTACGACGGCGCCTGTTCAGTGCAAGTGTTGGAGGAAAGGTGTTTTACGGGACGTTAATGGGGCGAGCTTGTCCACTTCCCAGTCACGGCCGGACAACAAAGTTCACGGAGATGGGGTTTGTTTAGTCATGCGAATTCAGTCATCCCCGGTTGGCACGTATCCGAACCGGTGGCCAAAACGGAAGCCGAGAAAAAAAGGAATTTAAAAAAAGTGGGCAAGATGAGAACGCTTGAGTGCAAGCCAGCTTGGTTCGAAATCGGCATGGTTGGGATGCTGGCGGGTGCCACTGAAGGAGAGAGGGGCTCGGCAACTGTTCTCGGCCAGTGGTCTCGGGATATTTGGATGAGTGGCGTCGGCGAGGATCTCAAGGCCTTCTTGGAGAAGAATGAAAATAAGCCGAGGAAACTTCTCGAGTGGTTCCAGACCCACTGCACTCCACGAGATGCTCCCGAAAACCCGCGGGCCGGTGGACCGTTCCTGACCCGTCGACAGTTGGAGGAGTACGAGCAGCGACAGGCAGACCTGCCAGCGATGCAATGGCTACATCGCGACGCACCGGCTGACGATTGTCAGAAGCGGCAAGCTCAGGTCATAGTGCGTGCGCTGAAGTTCAGCTTAAATTCTATAGACGAAAAAACATCATTGAGGGAAGGGGCATTTGAAGATTGTCCGCCTTCTGACCTGTATCCGGAGGGATTGTGCGGCTTCGGTCGTCTCGATAGGTCACCCTCTGGCTTAGTTAATTGGGCTTACTTTTGGAAGAACAGGGAAGACATGTCCCCTGAGCAGGAACTACGGACCCTAGCAGTTATCGCACGCTGGCACCCGGCCAGTGTTTTGGAGGGCCATATCGGTATATGGAAGACGCCGTTGTACAAACAAAACGACTACATACCGGATCTATCTGTCCACGAGGGAAGGCTTCGTCAACTTGCAGCGTTGTGGTTTTGCGGGGACCCCAATGTAAAGCCAGGCCCCATAACCGAGTCGGTGGTGGCAGATTTAGAGAGGTCCTTGAGGGAAATCGAGTACTATTCCTTGAGCGAAGTGGATAGAAATGAGGAAGACGACACATACTTCCTTAGGTATGTGGACGTGGAAAAGGTGAAGAAGGAGTACCTGGCTCGCCTCGACGCTCAGAAGAAGCGCGTGTCCCTCCGTGAAGAAACGATGCTCGAACGTCGTTACTGTGAGGCGTATACGGGTTGCAGGGACAAATTCTTGTCTACGTATTTCCCCGACCCCTCCCAGCCGAAACCTTCGGCCGGGGAAGTGCCTGAATTTCCTCTCGGTTCCCAAGTCAAAATCACCAACATAGCTGATTACCAAAACTACGAACTGCGCCGATGGGCGTGGATGGAGGAGCTACTGGTTCGTACTGTCCTGGACCAAGTCCTGTCGAAGCACACCACCAACACTGGTGAAGCCCTCGATGCCGCCGCTCTTGTTGCCGCCAAGAATGCGCCGGAACCCTTTATTGTTTCTGTTTCAAGAGCCGATTTGCGCGATATTTATGACCAAGCTCTGCCGCAGGTAGCGAAACGAGTAGCCGTAGAACAGGCTCATGAGTATGCTTGCAGAACTGCTGGTGTCCTGATTACTACCGCCTACAATCAGTCAACAGTACTTGGCTGAATCTTTCATGCAACAATCGTCGACCAAAGCTATTACGCATACTGATGGCGCACACTGATGGCACATACTGATGGCACATGCTGATGTCTTACCATGCCTTCGGGCGCGTGGATGCCAGTCAGTATTTTGTTCCCGTTCGTTCAACGGCAACGATAATATGTGCCCTAAAACCGTCTCTTGAATACAACAAGCCGACGGTACCCCTGTGGTACCCAGTAACGCAATTGTTGTACGACCAACAGGTCCGTTGGTACCCCATTCTGTTGAGCTATGTGAACTCTATTAACGGAACGGAAGTCGGAAATTTGAGTCAAAAAAGGTGGCATGAGAACTCTTCAGTTCAAGTCAGCTTGGCTGAACGTCGGCATCGTGGGGGTACTGGCGGGTGAGACGTATACGGGCTGCATGGACAAGTTCCTGTGTTGCCGATTTTCGGGCCCTTCCAACTCCAGAGCCGGCTTGCTCCATACCCATACTATTCATCGTGTTGTACAGCGAGTGGGCTTATGACTATCATTTCAGAATTATCGGTGTCGTGGTTACTACCGCATACAACCACTCAAAAATGCTTGGTGTGTAATTTTTCATATCCCATTAACTGGCCCAGGCAGAAGTCAGGAATTTTGTTAAAAAAAATAAAACCAGAATTTCATGAGAACACAGCAGTGCAAATCGGCTTGGTTGAAGGTTGACATCGCAGGGGTACTGGCGGGATGTGGTCAAGGACAAGTTTCAAGTTACTTCAGCCCCAGTGCGGAGGTTCCCCCGCCGCCTCCCATGAAAGTTGTTGTGAGCCGTCGAGTTCGGGACCTTTTGCTTTATAGCAATGTTGACGAGGTCAGACCCTTCCTGGAGGAGAACTTAGAAAATCCTGCGAAACTTGTTGAGTGGCTCGAGGATTACTATAATCGACCGCAAGATAAAAAATTGTCGGATGTAATGTTCTTGATTCCTCGTCGACGGTTGGAGGAAGACGAGAGGAGACAGGTTGAGTCGCCGCGCCAGGAGGCTTCGAAGGAGCAGTTGAATGTACCGATCGAGACAGATGGCGGTCAGAGTTGTTCTGATCAGGGAGTACCTGCATTGGTCCATTGGGCTCGGTGTCATGCGAACAGAGATGCACTGTCACCGGCGCAGTATCTGCGGAATCTCGCAATTCTGGCGCGCTGGTTTCCGGAGGCTGCATACAAATTGGCGAGGATGTGGTTTGAGCAGGATGCACCAATGTTCACAAGTAGTGAGTTCGTTCCCGACCTTTCTGTCGGACGGCAAAGGCTTCGGCAAGTGTCACTGCTGTGGCTTGGTGGGGATCCTAATGGATTCTCAGACCCTTTATCGGACTCGATATCGGATGCTGTGGGTGGGTACATCAGCGACATTGGCGGCTCCCGCCAGCGAGGGAACGCCATAAGCTGCCTTCACATCGACGACGTGAAGGAGGGATACAGTACTACTCTCCAGTCTTTGGACAAATTGAAGGGCAAGCACCGACGACAACACCTAGAACGACGTTACAAGAGTGCGTACAAGGGATGCGCTGAACTATTTCTCGCCACCTACTTCCCAGAGGTTGTTAGGGGGATGCGACGTCAGCGGATTCACATTCCTCCCCGTTTACGTGGACGGCCATTTGCGTTCCCAGTAGGCCACACTACCAAAGTCTTCCGCCGGGCCAACTACCGGAGTTACGATCTGCGCGAATGGGCGTGGATGGAGGAGCTACTGGTTCGCACTATGTTGGACAAACTCATCGCTGTGCGTGCCGCCAGTACTAACGAAACTCCCGAAGTCATTGCCGCCGCTCTACAAAGACCTGAACCATTCACCGTTTCGCTCTCCAAGGAGGAGTTGTATGAAACTTATAATCGTGCAACGGACGAAGTAGCAAGCCAAGTGGCTGCCGAACAAGCGAGTGCTTATGCTAGCAGGGTCGCCTTGGCTTTTATGACCACCGCGTACAACCACTGCTCTGTTATGGATGCCGCTTGATTTTTTCTGACGCAACAGCTCGACGTAAAACACATGGCGGAACTTCTTCTTGGCCGAAAAAATGGCGGAACTTCTTGGCCAAAAAAATGGCGGGCAGATGCAGATGGCGGGCAACATTATTTAAGAACGTGGAATTCATGGTTGGTACATGAATGACCAAATGCTTCTAGACTCCCCCTGAACTTCCCCCAGGTGTATGTGCTCCGGGTGCAGGTAAATGGTTGTTGCCTTTGTACGGGAGATGTCTTCTTCCTCTGATCGCAACCTGAAACCGTCGCACAAAAAACTGGCTAACACCAGTCTTAACGATTCATAAATCACATTCATTCTTCTGTACCTGTTAAGGTACTTGGCGAGCTGCGGGGGTATTTGTTCTGATATGCTACCCGATGTATATGGCATAGCCGTGTACGACATATAATTCCAGTCGAAGCTGCGTTCACACTTCTCCGACCCATAGTTGCTCCTATATTCTTTCTTCACCTCTACGTCATTACCCACGTCATCTGATTTGCGACCTCCGTGATTGAACGCCAGGCTGCTGAAGCCAACACGTTGAGGATCCCATCCTTTCAAAACTATGATTTTAGATGGGCAATAAATAGATAGCTCGGGATCTATGTCTTCTATATCCTGCTTATAAAGATCGTCACGGCTTAATAGGAGTTCCAACATATCCAAGTTAATCGGTTCTAAATAATTATCTCCAATCGGATCAAACTTATGTTCCCATTCAGCCTTTAGTTCAAGATTTGGTACCAGTACATTGGCCGGATGTGGCTGAAGCATTGTCTGGTAGCGAATACAGTCATTAACAAATTTGGGCAAATAAATTGAAATGTCGTCTTTACAATGATATAATTTTACTCGAGCTGTTAAAACATGACTAATAACAAAGTCCTGCTTCCCTGTTTGGTACGTACGTTGCAGATCCCCTCCATTCAATAAAATTGCTTTCTCGACTTCCATTGAGTCCTTATAAGGCTCCACATAAAACTTAAATAATGAAAATTATTACAAACACACGTGTTTGTGTACAAACACACGTGTTTGTGTACAAACACATACTTACCGTTAGCTTACTGAACAGGTTACTTTCTTGAGTAATGGTCTTTTTGTTTATCAGCGATTCGGTATAGGCGTCGACTCGATCTCGCTTGCCTGTGGCTCTCGTAGCAGCCTTGGGTTTCTTATTTCTATTGTTGTCCTTTGTATGGACCTCATCCCCGCTATCATTCAACTTTGTTCCGGGAGGGTTATCGAAATGCTTGTTTTGGAGTATATCCTTGATATCAGCTACCGTACTAATTTCGTCGTAATTTTTATCTCGGCGGAAAGCCTTACCCTTAACTGCGCGGGGAAACCTGAGTGTGTAGGGTAAGTCGAATACTTCCGACGGGACCAGTTCAGCGCCCATGATTTCCATCACGATGGAATGCTGAGGTAGAATAACATAGTCCGGTTTCTCACTTGTTGCAGACGGAGACCAAAAGTTGAAAATTTGGTTCCAATCAGCGTCGTCCGGAGACCGCATATAGGGTTTGAGTTCATCCGTGACGTCTCGTAGCTCTTCGATAGTGTAACCGGTTCCACACTTGGTGAAGACACGGTAGCCCTCATCTTCCTTAACTCCAAGCAGAAATGTACTGATATGATCGCGTCTGTCTAGAAAGTCGGCTTCTCGTCGGCGTCGTCTCTGGCCATCTGAGAGGTAGAACCCAGCAATGACGAGGTCGAGCGAGTCCTTAAGCCATCCAAACCGTGGTTTCAGCTTAAACCAGCCTTTCGATCGGGCGTTGAAAAAATATCGCGAACTCACTTGCTTGATCATAATACCTTCGCGACGTTCTTCCTGAACCTTCTCAAGCTCCTCACCCAGATAACGAACCAAGCCCTCAAGGTTCTCAAACTTTCGGACACACGGAAAGCACGTCTCTACTTCCTCAGATTCATCTGTATCAACAGGTATACATAATAATGTACTCTGTATAATTTCCAACTCGTGCACTCTTTGTCGCAGTAGCACCTTCTGCAACATCTCACGCCTCTTGAAGTATGGTACCTGCTCCAAATAAAATCTCTTACCAGCCTTATTCACAGCCTCCATCAAATCAAACACGACATAAAACAAGTTGCAATCCGCTACAGAACGAGGCACCATAAACTCAGCAGACTACCCTCACTAGCAGACTACCCCCAGCAGCAACAACAAAAGTGATACCCTACCAAGTTCGCCGTCAGCAACAGTTCTTGAATGGCCAAAAGGCAATACTGTCTCACTATTGGCATCCCAGCATAAAATTTCGCCATCCAGTAAACATTCTGATATTCTGCACCAAACATACATAGGGGCGTACTC